AGTTTGCTTGAAGCCCTGAAAGCGTCGGTAGGCTTTTTAGGTTTTTAACGGAAGCAGATGTACAGAGATCCTTCCTCTTGGAGGACTGCTTCGCATAGCTCAGGTCTATCGACCTCAAGGCAGCGCACAAATGCTGCAAAGTACTGCACAAAGATCAAGCACGTCCTCTTCAGACCGCAATGCATTGTATCACTATACAGAGTGTCATTTCGGTGTGCGGTTTTCGGAAAAATGGTGGCAACGCATAGGATTGATGCTGCGATGTCTGCACGCTCTGCTCTGCAAGCATCAGCACCGGTCGTGGCTGTACGTCGACGAGATGCCGAGAACGGCGTCGCACTGCTAGTGGCCATGTTGGGCGTTCTTAACGCGCCCATCAGCTCGGAAAAGCACAGTTCGCACAGCAAGTCATTTGGTGTGGCTGGAAGTTTTGCTTCGCAACGGAGTCAGTAATCAGATGTAATTAGTAGCTCAAGATTTCCAGCTTCGAGAGCAGCTGCACTCGCTTCGCACCGCACAAACGGTGCCTCGCAAAGCTTGGAACCCGCCTTGGGCCTACTCAACTGGGCACGATTTCAGCAAGCACTTGCGTTCCTTCATGGCTCCTTTGTCTAAGAACTTGCATGCGCCAAGCTGTTCGAAGTTGGAGCACTTAACGTGCACAGCAAAGCGGACGTTCCCAAGGTGCCGCCCTCGCACAAGCACCAATGGGTTCGCCTGGCGGATTCGCGCAGCAGGAGATCCACTCACGCAGAGAAAGCCAATTCGTACTGCAATGGCTCAGCACTGTGTTTCGCCCACGAACAGCCCCGCAGCCTGCACGCCGCTCATCTGCGTGAGTGCAGTGGACGCTTTTGCAGACATGCACCACATGGGTATAGGGGGCTGGATTAGCACTGCACGTAGCTTCGTTTGGTTCAGCGAAATTTTCTCCGATGGCTACAGCTCAGCGGTAGCCTACAGCCATACATAGGCTGCTTCCGAGACGTTCGCCCAGCTCGCACTCGCACAGTGCTCATGGCAGTTGCTGCGCGCACGCCATGCCAGGTTTGTCCTGCCCAGCGAGTGCAGAGTCCGGTCTGAACAAGCTTTTTAGCACTGCCGAGCCGCTCCACACTTTCCTGCACCTGGCAGCCACTTGGGCGCATCTGCACATGCAGTTTCAGGTGGAACACTTGGCGGGTAAAAAGAAGTCCTGGGCCGATGCGATGTCTCGCGGACGCATCGCTTTCGTGCAGCACCGCGGCAGGGACAGAGTTCGAATCGACGTAGCACAGCTAGCCTCGGCCTCGCATTGCGTCACCCTGCACGGCAGCGCGCGGACTGGCCCCCATGCCTGGACAGAGCCTCCTCTGCCATGCTCCACTAAAAAAGGCAGTGCAGTCGCTAATGCACTTTGTTGCTTTGCACGCACACGCTTGCCGAGTCCGCACTGCTCTCTTGACGTACCTCGGCGCCGCTTGAAGCTCAGAGTTTGCCTGCAAGCCCGGCTATTCGTTTCGCGCTCAGGCACTGCACTGCACCCTGACGCGGGAGGGGTGGTATCCGTCGGGCATTGGGTTGCAGTGTCAGTCTAGAGTGGAGGGCAGCTCTGCTCGCACGGCAGTACGCATCCTACTCGCATAGCACTGCATCTGACTCTGCAACCCACGCCGTTAAAGAGAATGTGCCCGCCTGCATCTTTTTTTCTAGGCATGGCATAGCATGTCTAACTTAGAGAACGCTCGCTGTGTGTTTGTGTTTTAGTCAGTGGTGTTTTCCTAAGGTTAGTATGTCAGTTTCGCCATGCACTGCAATGCTGCTGCTCGAACCTCGAGAGAACACGTCGCAAGTCTGGGGCTCGCAGCCCAGACTTTAGCATAATCTTTTTTCACCCACCAACGCAGGGGGGGGGGGCAGCTCTGCTCGCACGGCAGTACATACCCTACTCGCATAGCACTGCATCTGACTCTGCAACCCACGCCGTTAAAAAAAGAGTGTGCCCGCCTGCCCGCCTGCGTCTTCTTCTCATTTTTTTCTAGGCATGGCATAGCATGTCTAACGTAGAGAACCTGCCTTGAGCCCTGCCTGCCCCGCGCGGTCGTCACGCTGCTCCTCGTGGTCGCGTGACTTTTCTCCGCTCCCTGGGAAACGCATCGGACTGCTGGACTTGTTCTGCGGCACGGAAAGCACCGTCCGCGCCTTTAAGATGTTTGGCTGGGAAGTAACGAGTCCTGACGCGGCTCCTTGACAGCCTTCCTTTTGCTTGATGCCCGCCTCGAAAAACTGTCACTCCTTGGCTTCTGCGCGCTCGCGCTTGGCCACCGCGGTGGCACACAGCTTCACGTTTCGGGCCCGATCACGGGGTTCAGTCTCTGGTACATGGCGACGCCTGCGTTCACCTGACCCTCCTGGTGCTTTGTCTAGCAGCTAGCATGCTTCTGCCTGTTGCAGTGCCAGCTAGCCCAGTGCAGCCGCCGCAGCATTTTCCGCTCACGTCGTGAAAGTGCGAGCCTTTGCGGAGAAAGGGGAACGGACCCAGTGCGCGGAGAAAGCTGCTTGAGCCAGCAGCTTCGGCAGCACGCTTCGAACGCCGCGGAGATGTGCAAAGCCACTGGGCCACGGCGAAGAGCCGTGGCCCGTCTGGCTCCCACTCCAGGCTGGCGGTGATCACCAGCCCTCTCACGACCAACCTCAGACTAGAGGCACAATTAATAAAGCGCCCCCAGCCTTTTTCAGACCTCGTCCGCCGGCGGCTCTTTGTGGTGCCAGCCATGATTCTTCGCTGAGCTGGGTGCGGACGCAAAGGGCAACATGACAAGGGAGCTGCTCTGTGATGCTGATGGTGGCTCAATAGCTTAATAGTTGCAGCACGTAACAGCATAACATGTGAAACACCAGTGTGACACGCAAACGCAACGACACCCCAAAATGCTTCCCCCAGTGTCTGCTGCTCTGTGGCGCATGCTCGCACCGTCCTCGCCTGCTCCGCGGAGCTGCTCGCGCCGTCCTATCTCCGAGATCTGCAATTCTCGGCCTAGCCCCTCGCCATCACGGTCGGAACTCCGCAGCTCTGCACCTTGTGAGCTACTCCCAACTGCAGAAGTCGTTGTGCCTGCCTTCCGCGGGCAACAGACACTGGGGGAAACATTTTTTGGGGGTCCTTGCGTTTGCGTGTCACATGGGTGTTTCACATGTTATGCTCTCACGTGCTATATCTTTATTTAAATTCTTTAGGTTAAGCCACGTGAAATCGCAAGTGTTCTGGGGTGTGTGTGGCAATACGACCCTGACGACGACGACTACTACTACTACTGGTATTGTCAGCATCCTGGGTGGAGTCGATTTCGCATAAATCCTTGCAGAGCCCGCGGGGAAGGTTCCGGGAGGGTCGCATCAACTTCTTTCAAATCCATGCCAGTATGTGGTGTTTCCCATGGTTCGCGGAGCTAGGCGAACGTCATCGTGCTACGACACTCCCGCGCCTTGCCTTTCAGAAGCTGTTTCTTGGGCCAAATTGTGGTGCTTGGAGGCCATTTAGGATTTGTGCCAATCATTAGGACGTCAAACGGAACCCTCAGCCAAAACCCAACTGTAGTCGTAGGGACGAGGTAGTTGCGTCACCTTTTCGCAGGCGGAAAAGTCCAGGGGGGAAAGAAAAAGAACTTTAAACTCCCCTTGTTACCCAAAGCTTCGTGTCTGGACGTCACCTTCCTATGTAGGTCTACCCCCAACGCAGTATCGATAGCGTTGAGGATTGGCCTTTCAGGTTTACAACCCCTCTTATCCTTTCATGGCTCTCTCGGGACCGCTGTTCAAGGCGTAAACAGTGGACAGCCGGACGGAATGATCTGTTTCATAGCTGTCTCGGGACCGTTGTTCACGGCTTATACACGTGGAGTGCCCGACGGAATGATCTGTCCCAGAGCTCTCGGAACCGCTGTTCGAGGCGTAAACACGGGAAATGCTGGCAGGAATGATCTGTTTCAAGACTCTCTCGGGACCGCTGTTCCAGGCAACATGAAATGGCCGACGGAAATCTGTTTCATAGCTCTCTCGGGACCGCTGTTCAATGCGTAGACACTTGAAATGCCCGACGGAAAGATCTGTTTCATAGCTGTGTTGGGACCGCTTTTCAAGGCGCAAACACTTGAGATGCCCCCTAAACCGTGAACCCTAAACCTAAACCCTGACCCTAAACCGTGGCGCCTTGGATCTCCTTCCACCTTTTTCTGTGCTCAGAGCGTTGCAAGCTCTTCCTGCCCGTGTGCGAGGCAGACGGTGTCAAATCACCGTTGGCCCGCTGGCTTCGCGTCGAAGTTGCGGGAATACGGCCCCTTCCCAATGCGTTGCTGGTGCCTGCTGGGCCTGTTGCTCCAACCCTCATTGCTCGCATCATCGCAATGTTCCAGCTCGCCTCAGTTGTGTTCGCCACTCCCGCCGCCACGCAGGAACCCCTCCGGTCAGCACACTCCTCGTGTAAATGCTCATCATGGTCAGCCTGGTCAAAGCTACCATTGCAGCACCGTGCAAAGCCGCTCCGCTGAGCCCAGTTCTCATGACACTAGGCCGCGTTTGCACCGTCGCTCGGGAAACGTTCGGGGCGCTCGGCATTAGGCGGATCCGATGCGCCCAACCAGTGCCGCCTTGCAGTGTTCAGCTGCAACAGGTTGTGGTCAGTTTCTTGTCGGCTGCATTGTGCATTTCATGGCTTTACGCCGTTCTTAGCATCGCAGCGGTGCAACTTCGCTTACTCCAAAAGCCCTCTTGCCCTGCTAATACTGACGTTGCTAATGATCAACCGCTCGTTTTTGATGGTCCTCGTGATTCTCGTGGTCGTGATGTTGGTTTCCTTTCTTATTATAGTTTGAAACACCTGCTCGTACTTATTGCCTTAGTGACAGACCAAACCAACATTCAATGGCGCATCCTGCATCACTGCACGGCACTGGCCTCGTTTTATGCGCCGCATGTAGGTTGCGCGGAACTGGACCGGCTGGACTTTTGGCAACGCCTGTTTAAAAAAACCAAGCTGTCATTGAAGCCTTTCTTGGCATTCCCAATTTGATGGCAGGTGACAGCAACGTTTGGTTTCCAGACCTCGTTGAAAATCGTTTGCCATGGGCTGCAGATCGTCTTTGTATCGAGCATATCCAGCATTTGCTTAATGTTTTCGGTTTAGTTGTGTGCAACCCGTCGAATGCCCCACCTCCCCTAACACGTTTGTCGTGTGAACGCCCGGTTGAAGTTAGACGAACTGTACGATTTGTTGTTGTACGCGTTATGGGATAGTGACAGTCCGTTATATCATCATTCAACGAGCACGAAACAATAACTGGAATAGTGGAATGACAGCTGCATGGATGCCTTGCTTGCTTGCAACGCAACTTGGCATGCACGTAGACGTGAGTTCACACGAGCCACCGACGCCGCTTGTAAGTCTGCCCGGAACCACTTTCACCGAACTGTCCGTTCTGCAAAACTTTTTGTTTGGAGCAAGTGGCTGGCCGATATTGAACATCTCAAAACCAGTCGCCCGCGTGATTCTGCACGTGCCGTGCGGCGTAGATTTCACCGCAACTCATCCCGTGTTGGCCGCAGTTTATGCCCTGATCCCTTTGCCTCACAGGAGCAGAAACAGGCTTGCTTGAACGAGTGGCGTGATCATTTTCAGCGTTCTGCTGTTCATGACCACGCAGCCTTCGCTCAGCAGCATTTTACACGTGTACGTAGGCGCATTGAACGCCTCTGCAATCGTTGCACCGGTTTCACGCAAAGTGATTACCCTTTCACTTGATCGGAAGTTCGTCATGCATTCCAGCAATGCGCGAGATCCAAAGCACCTGGCATCGATAATATCCCGTACGAGGCATTTTGTGTTGACTTGTCTTGATGGACGGAAGCAATCCTTGAATTTCTTGAGCCTTGTCGTGCGTGTTGTGCTGTCCGTTTATTATGGAGGCATGGGGTCTTGATCCCACTTCCCAAGGGGGCCGCAAACAGCAATGACAGTGATGGTTACCGGCCTATCACTTTAACATGTTGTTTCGCCAAGTTTTGGAGAGGATGGTGTTGAATAGAATAGAATCCACCCCATGGTTGACCCTTGTCTTGACGAGTGCCAGGCTGGGTTTGGCTGGGGGTTGGATATTCAACCGTATTCACTCCTTGAAACACTGCGTTTGCGGCAAAACACCCACACCTACTGTGCTTTCCTTGACATACGGAAGGCTTTTGACGTTGCATGGCGTGACGGTGCCATGTGGCGCCTCCACCGTGCGGGGGTTCAAGGCGGTCTATGGTTTTTTGTCGATGACTTAGTCTGCAATCGCACAGCCGCCGTGCGCATGGCTGAATGCACGTCAGACCCTTGGGATGTTGAAAACAGTATTGGCCAAGGTGCGGTCTTGAGCGGATTCTTGTTCAACATCTTGGTTAACGGTTTAGCATCGAAAATCAAGCATGTCTGTAATAGTGTGTTGGTTTAATGTATGCGGATGATGTTGCAATCTTGTGCAGCGATCCCGCGGACTTGCAAAAAAGCCTTGGATGCTGCAACTACTTGGGCACGCTCATGGCGTTTCAATTTTGCTGTGGGCCTTCACGAGACGGCCGTCATGTGCTTCGGTCCAGGCGCCGCCAATTGAACTTTCGCGTAGATGGACAACTAATTCCAGTAGTCTGCACGTACACGTACTTGGGAGTTGTTTTTCATGATGATTGAATTGGCGTCATCACATCCATCATGTCCTGGCACGTGGTGAACGTCGGATGGCCGCATGCCTTTCTTGGACAGCTTCACACACAGATTACTTGCCACTACACTTTATCGAAAAGCTGTTCCGCGCATATGTTCAACCTTCGGTTTGCTTCGGCCTTGAACTCGTACCCGATTCCTCGCACTTGCAGCGTGCAAATGCACGCATGTTTCAGCGGGGTCGCCGTCTGCTGTTGTGGCTTCGGGGAGCGCTGACTGCCGCAACACAAGGGCAATTAGGTTGGCGAGACTTGTCATCGTCCCGCTTGTTGCAAGCCGCTGGTCTGCTGGTGCGCTCATTGTCCCTGCCCTGCACATGCTTTGCCGGCCGCATTGCGAAGGACGCTTGTGCAGAACAGACGTCGTGAGCAAATGCTGTGCCGCTGTGCTGCGTGATCTTGCTCGTATTGGCGTAGCTCCTCCTTCAAATTGGGGCCTCACCGCGGGTACACCCCAGACGGTTGTAAAAGCTTGGCTGCGTCATGTACGCGATGCCGTATCTCGCCATTCCAACTTGCTTTATTCAAACCTTTTGCATTGCACTGACTCCTTGGAGTGCTATGCTCGCTGGCAGACACGACCGCATCCGCACAGGGTCGTTTATAGATCCTGGGGTCTAACACGTTGTGGACATCATGACTTCTTGGATGGGCGCTCTGCACGTCATCGCAACAGTATGGTATTTCACTCATGCCGATTTTGCGCCAATGGCCCTGACTCCCTGTCTCATGCACTTTTGGACTGTGCTACCTATTCCCAACAACGCCGCCGCTGGCGACAGCAAACTCGGAGATCAAATGTGCTTAGCTTGGAAACCCTTCTCAGCACAGACCCGGCTTTGAACACTGCGCATGACATCTTGCGCAATGTCGCGTTTGTTGCCACCATCTGCCGTGATGCGTGGGCGTGTGAGATCTGAACGTGGATCTCAAATCCAGTCTTTGACTGAGAGAGGCAGGTAGGACTCTGTACATAAATGTCTTGCTCTTACTTTGTTGTGTGTTGGTGCTTGTTTTTGCTTGTACTCGCATGCTGACAGTATGCTGATGATAATGGTTTCACTTCTGACTGTGTCTCACGGTCGTTCAAGGACATCTTTCTCAAGGCGTAAACACTGGACATAACGGACGGAATGATCTGTTTCATATCTCTCTCGGGACCGCTGTTCAAGGCGTAAACACGTGAAATGCCCGACGGAAAGATCTGTTTCATAGCTCTCTCGGGACCACCGTGCAAGGCGTAAACACTGGAAATGCCGGACGGAATGATCTGTTTCATATCTCTGTCGGGACCACTTAAACGCTTGAAATGCCCGACGGAATGATCTGTTCCAGAGCTTGGGACCGCTGTTCAAGGCGTAAACACTGGAAATGCCGGTCAGAATGATCTGTTTCATATCTCTCTCGGGACCTCGGGACCGCTGTTCAAGGCGTAAACGCTTGAAATGCCCGACGGAATGATCTGTTTCTTAGCTCTCTCGCGACCGCTTTTCAAGGCACAAACAGGTGATTGCAAGGACCCTGCCGCGACCCCTTCCTTCGCTCCGTTCAAGGGGGACCTGTACACGGAAACGTGAATGCAAGGACTGTAGCGCTTGGGAGTAGTACTGAAACAGGGCACGGCGCGGGAATTGGTTTTTAGTCGAAACCAGTTGACGGTGCAGCGCTGCGGGTCGCAGAGCGCCGCAAGCAGACGGCTTACCTGGAACTCACACCCGGCGGGCCACAGCGCCTGGTCGTGCTAGCGACGGAGGGTCGGAAGGCGATGGAATGCGCAGGCACTCCGTTTCTTGCGTGATGTCGTCCACCTCCGAGCGCAACGGGCGCCGCTTGCTGTTCGCGCCGCGGCCGCTGGAGGCTGGTCCAGACGATGGCACGGCATCTTGTCCGACGCGGTCCAGCAGGCCGTTGCGGGCACGGCCCTTGGTCGAGCGTGGTCGGCGTTGCAGGCTGGACCGGGCGCTGGGCTAGCCTGGACCGGGTGCTGGACCTCGACGAGACCACCGGGGCGAGTCGTCTGCCGCTCCGGCCATCGTAGCCCGTAGGCCCTAGGACTCAGGAAGCCAGCCACGAACGCCAACAACGCCAACGCAGCAGAAAAAGGTGTAAAAGAAAGAGCCGCCTAACCTCCTCCTCAGATTTCGGATCGCTTAAGAGCACCTCGGGCGGAAGACCATTGGTTCTGTCGAGGTCGAGTGAGCGATCCATTCAGACCTGAGTGCAAGGCGACGGCCACAAGGGGACCCCAGAGGTGACGCGGCGTAGCAACGAGGAGCAGGCCGGTGCCTCGTGTTGGACCCGCCGTGAGCCGCTGGAGGCCATCCTCGCCAAATTCCGTGAAACTATGCTAGGTCCACCGCACCAGTGGAACCACATTAAAACAGTCGTAGTGTAGACATCGGTGAGGGCGCCTAGTTGATCCGGGTGCTTTTCAAAGAAGCCGCGCAGTTGCTGTGCATCGGTTTCGCGGAGTAGTTCCGAGGGTGGCGCATGGTTGCCACCCACTGTCCATAACATACAGCTGCAGCTCGATCATCACGAATCGCTAAGTTGGTCTGGCTGAGCCCAACAGCCACACGTAGTTGCTCGGTCACTCTTCCGGTGGGCGAGACTAGTACCACTTTGGATCCTCCAGCCGCAGCCATGTGGTGCCCCGCGAGTCCATAGGCATATACAAACTATAAAAGCCAACAGGGCATGTGGCAACCCGAGAAGTTCCCGATTTGGGCAGCCCCTGCATCAAAATGAGCGGGCAGCTCGACATACCGACTTCACAGAAAGTGAATCCGACAAAACTTGTAGTAAGACTTACGTTCAAACTGAGTCAAACAAGCTTCTACTAGCTATGCGAGGGGGTATCCCACAACCTTCAATCAGGACATGCTGCAAAAAACCTTCATCACATGCAAGAGCTTTGGCCATGCACTTTATGCGTTCGGTGGCCAGCTTCTCTAAAGGCAGCAAAACGCCATGCATGCAACACACTTCTTCATCAGTGGCCCCTACGCTGCTCACACCGAGCAACGGTCTGCAAGCTTTGCGCCAGCTCCGCATGCAACTGGCATGGTAGGATCTGAGTTCATTCTCGGATTTAAGCGCCCAGTGGCCCGATCCGTGTAGTAGTTTCCTCTCAGCCATCGAATGGATGAGGTTTTTACGCTCAGAAACTGTCAGCTGGTCATTGTGCGGAAGCTTTCTGTGCAAGTTATCATACACACGCGACTCACGGAATTTCCGGTGTTCAACATCCTTGTCATCGGCAGCTCTATGATGTATAATGCTGCCCAAATGCGTGTATGCTACAACAATCGCGATATGAATGATGTCACCGTTGCAAAGCTCAACATCGATGGAGGGCTTGTTACCGGTGAGCCACTGCCTGGCTTGCACCTCACTGTTTTTTTCCCGCAAACACAACAACAACTTCCGACTTCTTATCCTCGAAATGGGTCTTGATCCCAACTGACTCAAGCGCATGATATACACATCGCACTGTCTCGCGTATCCTGGGCACAATTTGGCAAGGATGTTGCGAAGAAATCATCACCGCAGCATCGTCAACCCACGTCGGCACAGGAGGTACATGCACATGCTCATCAGCAACTTGTGGCAGCAATCGCTCAACTTCAGCAATACACCTGCCGAAAATTCCTTGGAAGAGGACATCTGCCAATGGGGCTCCAGGCAAAGTTCGGGTTCGGGTTTGCCACGTGCACCCTTGTAACCCCTGCATGCAGAATGAAGTTGACTGGAGGGTGGTCATGATGAACCTTCTGACGATGTGTGGTACCTGCGCATCTTGGAGCACAGACGGGCCAGTGAGCAAAGCAAACATTTTCTTCCTGGTTTCTTCACATGGGCTCAGCATATCGATGATAGCAAGAACCCGATCAATGTCTCGAAGATTGACTTCATCGTCATAGAGATACGGCCGTATTACAGCATAAAATGCTGCAACTCCGTCGACGAAGACGCTGGCGCCTGAACCTCGTTGTTGCCTGAGCCTCCGAACATGGCGTTTGGAGAGGGCTACCCGGCTACCGGGTAATCAAGCGATGAGCCTTGGATGGATCCACCTCCGGCCTGCCGGAAGTGAGGAGCAAGAAACTTGGCCAACTTAGAACGGACAGCTTTCGCAATGCCCTTCCCTTCATGCTGACTTCGCATAAGGCGATCGACCGCCAGGCTTTCGGAGTGCTTATCCCGCCTGAAGGTTTCGGGGTGCACATAATGAGAACTCTGCGGCACGCTTGAGGTGCAACTCCACCGATGGTAATCTTCATGAGCACCGGATAAAGCACATCGGCAGCTTGCAATGCCACAGCACTAAGTGCTTCGGATGGTATCCCACTGAACCCTGTCGCCTTGCCAGCTTGCATCTGCCTGTAAGCGTTGGAAGATCGATGACAGTAGGGAGGTGTTGGAAATCCTCTACCGCAGCTGTAATTGAGATTGGCACTGGTTCAACATTCGCCTCAATCTCCATATCGAGAGCACGGCTCCCATGTTCGGCCTTGGCAAAGTGGTCTCCCAAGATCTGTGCAGCTTCGCATGGATCAGTTTCCCATTCGCCTCCTTCAATTTTCAACAAAGGTGCAGTCTTAGGTGGTCTAAATTTCCGGCCACATTTAAGGATGCCTCTAAGCAAACCAGCGATGTGTCCCGCTCCTTTACCCCTAGCTTCAGCAAACGCGGCTGTCACGTACTCTGCCCTGCTTTCGTGAAGCTCTCTGCGAAGCTTCCGGGAAACATTTCTGATCCGCACAAGCGTTCGAGCAACATTCATCCTACGAGCAAATGTCACAAGCTGTGTATGTCTCGTTGACCCTTGTCTCCAAGCCTTGAAGACCGTCGCCATCAGGACTTTACGCATGTCTTGGTGCATTCGCTGCAAAGTTTTGCGTAGTGCATGCCTCATCCTGATCAACATCCAAGCTGAGTCGGAGACGAATGATTTTTTGGGCCTGCTTTTGGACGCTGGGAAATGCAAGCGAAGCTGCTCAACAATGTGTTGATGTACCATCTTGACATGCGTGTCAACATCTACAGCCCATGGAACTTTCGGAGGAGACTGCAAAATTGAGATGAGCCTGCTTCTGTTGCAAGGGTCCTTCATGGCCGCTCTATCCAGCCTTGCCTTCTCTGCGACCCTGGGAGCCCGCGTCTCTACAACGACCCTCGCCAACAACGGAACATGGTCTCTGCCTGAATGCAGTGTCAAGGCCTCGTCAGGCTCACCTAATGTGACGAAGTTTGCTTCCCATGCTTGCGGCAGCAACACATAATCAATCATGCTTTCAAGAAGCTTTGGGCTAATCCACGTCACCACCTGGCGCTCAAAAACGTCAAGTGGTCTTGTGCACGCAAGCTCAAAGTCGATCAGGAGCCGCTCAAGGTGTCTCCCGTTTCTGTTGATTGGCTTTTGTTTGACACTGGCATCACATTCGAACCTGGCATTTCCATCCATGAGTACGATGGGGTTAGTGTGGGAATCAAGGCTCATCAGCATAGAACGTAGACCCGACCACCAAGCATCAATTGTCTCATCTTGATGTCCTGAGAGGGGCGAATGGCACACAATCAGTGCAGCTCTGAGATTCCCGACGTAACCTATCACACATAACATGCGTGGCGAAGCCAACTTCACCACGAACCTGTCGACAATGACATGTTCTGTTTGTTTTATCCAAAGCTGGCATCCACATTGCCCTTCGACAGCCGCAGATGAAAAGATTGTAACCATGTGCTCGCTTCACTTCATCAACTGGGCACCTTGCTTCTTGACACCCTGCGAATGTGACTTTATTGGTGTCCAGCATGCGGGCAACGGCTTCTTGATTTGCTGGCTCTTTTGGCGTCAGCGCATTGTATGTCAACAGCCTCAGCTCCGCATATTTTGCATTTCCAGGTCTGTCACAGTTTTAGTATCACTTTCAGCCACGCTTTGCTCGTGCCTCAACAATTCATGCTCTGTAAAGGGCATCTCGATGCGCTCACCAACAAAGGTACCGTCATCTGGCTTGGCATAAGGCCATCTGGGATCATCCTGCAAGCCAAGCATGGAGGTCCACAACCAAGGTATCCCGCCATCTTGAATGGCATCTCCGACAGCATCCCCAGAGGGTGGTTGAGCATGTCCTTTCAAAGCCCGTTTCGCAATGGCGTCAGCAACCTCGTTCCATGTATGTCCTGCGTGTGCTTTCTCATGTACACAGCAAAGACGTCTTTATTGTATCATATGGATGTGGGCAATCGCAGCAGCCGCCTGCGCAGCTGGGTGTTCGCAAGCTGCAAGCATTTGCGTGACACTAGCTGCACGTTCACAATCGTAGTGAATGACAACTTCGAGTCCCGTACTCAGTCCTATCAAGAGAGCATGAACAATGGCGAGGCATTCGGTAACGACAGCACTCGTGCAATTGTTCGAAACAGCTCGTCCGCAGTCATAACAACATGCCGACAGGTAACCAACCCATGTTTGCCTACAGGCTTGTTCAACAACGCAAGCAACCGCCCAAGCACCATGCTTTTTAACATCATCGAACGACCCGTCGGTATAACAGTGGATCACATGTCCATCGCCTACCTGCTCAACTGTTGGCAAGCATTCTTCAACATGACTCCGCACACCGTTCTGAAGATCCACAAGGAAGTCAGTTCAATGCTTAATTCATGGAGCGCATGTCCTTGCATCACCATGTTCTACATGTCTGGCACAACGGCCACATGCATATTTGGTTGGTTCTTCGACCAACTCAGACAAATATACCGGCCTTGGCCCCCCTGGCTTGTCTGTAACGGACTGTCAACAAGTGTGTGCTCTGAACGACGAAGGTCTGACACTGCTTTTATGGAAGTATGTTCTACTACTCGGATGTGTGATCCGAGCCTCCAAGAATCAACAGGACCACATTCCTGTTCAAAACCGGCATGGTGGATTCCGCACTGGTTCTTGTCCTCCACGCAAGCTCTATCTTGCGCTGTACATACTGTTCAAAACTGCACATGAAGGTGTGATTTCCTACACTATGAAGCATGGATATCAAGCTGGGAACCTGCCCGCATGGTCCCTTGCGGCTCGCATGCAGGCTCATGAAGGGACCAAAATCCCACCTGGTGTTTGCTCTGCTTCTGGCGAATCTACGATGATGGGTTGTTGACCGCGCCTTGGCGATCTGGAACCGGTTCGCTTTGTCGAAGCTTCTGCAGCCAGCTTAGCTTTTTGCAGTGCCTCGTGTAGCTCCCGATTTTTGCTGGTTTGGTCTTCCCGTCGTGCCTTCGCCTTTGCTGCTTCTGCTGCTACTGCTTCTGCACCGGGATTGCGATCGTCTCCCATCGCTTCCACATCGTCTTCGTCCTCTTCCTCTTTGGCACGCGTACCTTGTCCTGAAGCCTTTTCTCGAAGCTCCCGCGTCGTGCTTTCTAATCGCATGGTCCATTGTGGCTCGGCTTGATCGAACTGTTGCATGACTTCTTCGTGGTGTGTCAACTGTTGCATAAAGAGCTCGCTCATCTGGGCCACATACTGCGCCCATCCCCGCTCGTATTTGTCGCGTTGAAGCTGTATCTTGTTGATCTCCTTCTCGGCCTGGCTTTTTTGAGCTACCAGTGCATGCAATTGCTTCCCTTCCAAACCAGTGTTGCTTTGCTTGAAGGTACCGATCTGAGCCTGGATTGCTAACGGAAGTCCATCTTGTGGTAGATGCGGGAGAAGCGCCATGAGTAATGCATCCGAACTCCAACCGGTTGATATTCCCGCTGCCTTCGGAGCTGCATTGAGACTCCCTGGCTTCGGCGCATGCAGCAAGTCTTTGACATCCGGCGCCATCAACTGGCCTTTGCCTTTTCCGAATGCCCCCTTGGCATTCTTTCTGTCGCTTCCCTTGCCCCCCGTCCAATCCGGAGCGGCAGGATGCCTCCTCGGGCTCGGTTTCCTTCTGGGTGAGGTGTATCTCCACTGCTGTCCTTCCCAACGAACCTGTGGAGATTGTTGAGTGTAAGCGGTCCCTTCGTACCAACCACCCCAATCGGCCTCTGCCGCTTCGTGCCGAGGAGTTCCACAATGACTGCAATATGCCGACCCTGCCTTTACCAACAGTCGGCAGTAGCAGCACTTCCAGCTGACTTTGCTTGTATTCCAAGGAATTCGTTTGCCATTCTTTGCTCTATGTTGGCTGGTAGCGTGGGAGCTGAATGCTGACCTGCTAGTTGATCTCTTGCCCAAGCAATCTGTCTGTCTGCAGCCCTAAACCCTAAACCCTAAACTGGCTGTCCTGCTACTGCGTTTCTCAAAACGGTTCGGGCCGAAGTCCGAGACCGTTTGGAAGTCTCCCTGTGCTTTGCACTTGCTTCCCTTGCACGGAACGTGGAGTAATGGCAGAGTAATCCTGCTAGTTGCGCACTCTGATCACAGCGGTCCCTCAAGCACTGAACCAAGCCAGTGGAAACAGAAGAGAAGGTAGCAGCTGATACGCATGCACCGACTGTAAACACAGGCTAACGTCTTGGCCAAATGAATGGCAGCAAGTCTGCTGTATCCGCAGTTGGTCCGTCACCGCTGAGATAAATCAGCAAGTATCCTTTCACAGGCTATCGTTGCGCGGGCTTTAAAGCCACGCTTGGGGCTTGCTAACACCAACGTGGACCCACCTACGGGAGGAAGGAAACTACACGAGGTTTGAGCCAAGCACCTGTCCCCCAGTGCGTCCACTGCTTGGCCACGTCCGGGTTTGGGCCACAGCGGTGGGGGCTCAGGGGCAAAGGCAACCGAAGGCGACCTCGTAGTGCCAGGAGCATGGCCTGCGGAGTCAAGGTTGTGCTTGGCTCGCTTGGTATGGCTGAAAGCCATGCGCCTGCATGCGGCCCTAAACGATGTCCCCCCCACCCCCTCTGCCGTCCGTTTGCCTGTTGGCTTGTATGGTGGTGGAAAGGCTGGCGGCGTCGCGGGCAACCGTCAACAGGTGCGCGCTCTCCTACCTGTTCTTCGATGCAGCAGCCCTTTTTTCTACATGCAGTTCGAGCTAGGAGAAATTAGGAGATGGCCTTTCGCCAGCCGTCTATGAGCTGAGATCTCAACAGAGGCAAGGTTCGGCGCCGGATCGTGTGTACACGGCTCTGCTGCACCATGCTGTTCGTGCCAAAGTCGGACGCTTCTCAGTCGGCGGTGCATGGAAGCCGGGCTGTGGCTGCATGTTGGAAGCCGGGTTTACCCTCCAAAAAAGGACGCTGCCCCGGTGCAGCGGGTTTTTCGCTTCGTGGTAAGTGCACGTGCAGACAGCACTCCTTGAAAACTTCCAAAAAAGATTGACACAATGCTCCGCCGATTCTGTGCTTGGCAGCATGTTTCGAAATCTGTGTTGTTAGAAACAGAGAAAACTGTGAGTAAGGAAGTCGCGGTTTGTAAACGCGGCTTGAATGAATCGATTTGTTTGCAGAATGCTTCCAACGTTTCCAAAGTCCGTTACAAGTCTGCATGTGGACTCTACTTTCAGCGCAGATCCTGATCTTTCTACTTCGGAGACTTGTGGATGAGCCGCCAAACAGATCTAGAATCCAGCTGTCATCAGCAAGACTTGCCGACATGAGCATCACTAGTTGGAAGTGAAGCTGTCGTGTCGCCGTTCTGTCACAGCCGTAGCAGGCCGCTACTGGAGCGGTTTCAGTGGCGTGCTGCGTCAGATAGCCCTAAACCCTAAACCCCTAAACCCTAAATCCTCAAGAAAGAAATAAATAGAAATTGCTTGTTGCTGTTAACCATCCGGAAGCTTATTTTTTCGGTGGAGACGCACCTTTCCATTTTCGAATAAGCCAATTTCCGTTTCATTTTCGCATAAACCAATTTCCGTTTCAGGGTTGCTCACACAACCCAGCCCAGCAGCCCAGCAGCCCAGCAGCCCAGCCGCCC